CCCTTCGAGTGGTAGTGATACCTTGTTGATAAAAACTTTTGGCGAGTCGCATGCCCAACTGAGGAAGTGTGACATTGTCCAACTAGCGATCAAGACTCCAAGTAGGGAAAGAGTTTATGTTACTGCCTACGTTGTGCCCACCATCTGTTCACCCATTAGTAACCAATCCATTAATTTGCATCAACATCAGTACAGTCATTTACAATCATTGAAGTTGGCAGATGACATAACCCACTCATCAGATCTGAATATCGATTTATTAATTGGTGCTAATTATTATTGGTCGTTAGTCTCTGGGGAAGTTGTTCGTAGTGATTCTGGTTCGGGTCCAGTTGCATTGAGTACCAAATTGGGTTATGTTCTATCAGGTCCTGTCCAAGGTGAAAGCTGTACAAATGAGTCGACTGTGAATCTTAGTGAGACCCATGTTCTAAGGGTAGTATCTGAAGTTGTTCAAGAGAACACGCTTGAACAAGATATCAAAACATTCTGGGACTTAGAATCTCTTGGAATAAAGTCGAATGAGCCAGCTGTTTATGACAAATTCTTAAACGATATCACATTTGATGGAGAAAGATATGAAGTCAGACTGCCCTTTAAGGAAACCCATCCACCACTGCCAGACAACTATCAGTTGAGTAAGACAAGATTGGAAAGTCTTGTGCGACGTCTTAAGTCAAATCCAGAATTGTTAAGACAGTATGATCAAGTCATTCAGGAACAACTTCAAGTCAACATTATTGAACCAGTATCTAATGAAGAAAGATTCACTAAGAAAGATTCACCAAGAAGGATTCACTACCTGCCTCACCGAGCGGTTCTACGTGCGGATAAGAAGACAAGTAAGCTTCGTGTCGTGTACGATGCGTCTGCAAAGAAGGACGGTCCAAGTTTAAATGACTGTTTGTATGCAGGGCCATCTCTCACTCCATTAATCTTTGATATTTTATTGAGATTTCGCCTGCAGAGCATTGGCATCACAAGCGATATTGAAAAGGCATTCTTAAATGTCTCAATTGCACCAGATGATCGAGATTTTCTACGGTTTCTTTGGATAGACGACATAACAAAGGACAATCCAGAAATTGTTATCAGAAGATTCACAAGAGTTGTCTTTGGGATTAACTCGAGCCCTTTTCTGTTAAACGGAACAATCAGTCACCACGTAAATTCCTACAAGGATATAGATCCTGATTTTGTTGAAGAAGTGCTCAAATCGTTGTATGTCGATGATTTCGCATCATCAGCCTCAAGTGTATCCGAGGCTTATTCATTGTACGACAAGTTGAAGAAAAGATTTAAGGACGGAGGGTTTAATATGCGTAAATGGCAAACGAACAGCGACGTATTGGGGAAGAAGATTGCCAGCAGTGAAGGGTCTGATGCGACCAAGACATGCGAGGATTGGGAAGAAGATCAGAGCTACTCGAAGACAGGTTTACCACAAGCGAATCCTGAGGAAGAGTTCCCAAAGGTTCTCGGCATAACCTGGAATACAAAGAGCGACAAGTTGGTATTCAGTTTTGACGGACTGACTATGTATCTGACAGAAGAATCAGTTACAAAACGAATTGTGTTAAGTTCAATCGCTAAGGTGTACGACCCTCTTGGACTTTTGTCCCCAATTACGACCGTACTTAAAATACTGTTTCAAGCCATTTGCAAGGACAAGAACATTACCTGGGATGATGTTCTCGAAGATGAGACAGCGAAATCGTGGAAATCCGCGTTGACTAATATGAAAGAAACCTCGACAGTCGATTTGAATCGATGCTATAGCCCTCAGATTGATCGAAAGGAAATCAGATCAGTAGAATTACACGGATTCGGTGACGCTTCGGAGAAAGCGTATGGAGGAATAGTGTATATTCGTATCAGAACAGGAACGCTTGTTTCGCGTCAACTCGTTGCATACAAGTCAAAAGTCGCTCCCATAGGGGGAGAAACAATTCCGAGGCTAGAACTGTTATCAGGGCTGGTGCTTGCAAGATTAATGTCACATGTTCGACGTGAACTGGAAGGAAAATACAAGATTGATCGCGTTGTCTGTTGGTTGGATTCAGAGATTGCCCTGTGGTGGATTACAGGGACGAGAAAAGAATATAAACTGTTTATTCAAAATCGAGTTGTAGAAATTAGGAAGTTAATTGATCCGAAATCGTGGCGTCATGTGCCAACCGACCAAAATCCCGCGGACGTTCTTTCTCGTGGTTCACTTGCATCGGAATTGAAAGGAATGCGTAGTTGGTGGTGTGGTCCGGACTTCCTGCAAGGTGACGAGTCTGGCTGGCCAAAGAATACCAAGTTTCAAGGGGATAATTTCGCAGCTCAATTGCCCGAATTTGAAGAAATACAATCTGTGTCTACAACCTTGGTTCAGGATGAGAAATCAACTATTGGCGAGTTAATCGATTGTCAATTACAGCGATTATGAGAAACTCGTTCGTGTCACCTGCTACGTGGTTCGCTTCGTAAAAAGTGTGCGGAAAATGAAAGAACACCGACCATCATCCTCGAAGCTAGACGAAATCGAATTGTCCGAAGCAGAAATTTTGTGGATAAAAGACGCCCAGAGATACTTTCGAGCAGAGCCTAATTTCAAGCAAAGAAAAAGGTCGTTGCGACTATTCGAAGATGAGGATGGAATTTTAAGATCGCAAGGAAGACTGGATTTCACTCGATTACCTTACTGTACACGTCATCCAGCAGTTTTGCCAAGGGGTCATCATATCACAACACTGATCGTTCGAAAATGTCATAGCCGAGTCATGCACAATGGGGTTAACGAGACACTGGTCGAATTACGATCCAAGTATTGGGTAGTTAAGGAAAGACAGGAAGTTCGAAAGGTAATTTCCAGATGTACTACATGCAAACGAATTGAAGGCAAATGTTACCGAGCACCATTGCCACCAACACTACCTCGATTTAGAGTGTCCGAAGACTTCGCTTATACGCAGTTGGGAGTGGACTTTGCAGGTCCGGTGTACGTAAAGAATGTTTACACTCGAGCTAAGACAACGTACAAGGCTTACATCGCCTTATTTACATGTGCCTCTACACGCGGCATTCATTTGGAACTAACTCCTGATCTTTCTGCGCAAGCTTTCGTTCGAAGTCTACAGCGTTTCATAGGATGACGCGGAGTACCTAGCTTCCTTGTATTGGACAATGGGAAGACTTTCAAGAATTCTACTGTAAAGAAATTTATACAGCAGTATGGTATCACCTGGAAATTTAATGTCGCTCGTGCCCCATGGTGGGGTGGATTTTTTGAACGCTTGGTGCGCTGTGTCAAACGATGTTTGAAAAAGACTCTCGGCAATGCTCGTGTTTCCTTTGAAGAATTCGAGACTGTTTTAATTCAAGTGGAAGGAATTCTGAATTCACGTCCACTCACGTACGTGCACGAAGAAATGAGCGAACCACTCACGCCTTCAACCATGTGTGTTGGTCGACGATTGTTAAGTAATCCAATAACGCAGGAGAAGAAAACCAACGACAACCTAGTTGATGATGCAAGAAGGAGAGAGAGGTTCCTGACTCGAGTATTAAATCATTTCTGGGAACGCTGGCGTAAGGAATATTTGACGGAACTACGAGAACAGCACAAAGTAAAGAATGGTTCAGCAGGTGATTCGATCAGCCAGGGAGACATTGTTGTGGTTCATGAAGATAAAATTCCTCGACAGCTATGGAAAGTCGGTAGAGTTGATGATTTAATGCGTGGTCGAGACGGGAATGTACGTGCAGCAACTATTAGAACATCGTCTGGAGGTCGAGTGCAGCAACTACAAAGACCGATTCAACGATTGTATCCAATAGAAATTCCTACGAAAAACCTGGAGACTGTTCCACAGATAAAGTTCGTTCGAGACAATCTGCCTAATGCAATACAAAACTTTAATACTTGATTGTAAACATTGATCTGTTAATTAAGCTACGAGACATTGTGTTGACATTTATTGATTAATGACAATGGACAGTTGATTGACCTTGGTCAATCAAGGGGGGAGTGTGTAGAAAATAATTGACATTATCGCGATAATTATGCATGACGTAGAAATTATGCATGACGTAATGATGGCGCAATGTGCTGTTTTTGTAATCTGTATGTTTCGAAGTTCTGATCGAGGTTTATCAAGAAAATAATCAACATTTATCGAAGTTTATCAGAAGTAATCAACATTTTATTTCAGGATTGACTCTAAAGCATGCTTTTTAGTTAGTGTAGAGGTTGTACGAGAGGTATATTGTAACATTTCAATTAGCGCACTTTTTGACAATTTTGATGTAAAAAGTTGGAATTTAAACTATTACCTTTTTCTGTGCTAATAGGATTGACTCTACAGCATGCTTTTTAGTTAGTGTAGAGGTTGTACGAGAGTAAAAAGTGTAGTTAAAGATGTTATCTTAGTTGGCCTTAATAATGCTCTTTGTGCTAATAGGATTTCCTCTACATATTGATTTATACTAATAAAAAAGGTAAACTAAACACTATTTTTACCTTCAAATAAACATATAATTGCTTTTATGATGATAAAATTAGGTCTAAAATTTGATTTACATAAGACAAATAGTTAATCTGGACGTTGTTTTTGCTCTTGTAGAGGCAATTTAAAAATGTGCTAGAACCGGCTCCTTATATACTACTCACACCTTCCAACCTTATTGAAGTCTGCGATGCCAGTTCATCCTAAAGTTCCTCCTACAGTTTCTTCTAAAGTTTCTACTAAAGTTTTTTCTGCTCCTTCCTCTACACAAGTGACTACATTTACTAAAAAGCAGACGACTGGTCCAAAAAGAAAATAAATTAGCTTAGATCAATGCGCTTCTTGTGAAACGAGCGTGCAACATACAAGAAACTGTAGACAGTGAAATCAAATTTCCCAGCACTAGTAAAGGAATTTCATCTGTAACTCCCAACACTGGTCCTACTTCAGAAAAATCTAAAAATCTTCAGAAAAATTCGTGGCCAAATGATATCTACAACTACGTAAATCTGGTGTCCAGTCTTCCTGATTCAAAAAAGTACGAAATTCTGTGCAAACGTTTCCATTGGAAACCTGGTTCTGATTTTTCTTTTCCTCCACACGAAAATATTGGTAGACGTTTCCGGTTGGCATGGTTATCACGATTTCTATGGTTGGCTTACTCTGCTGTGGGAAACGGTGGTTTTTGCGTCACTTGTGTTCTTTTTGGCAGTGAAAGCACGCATAATGCAAGCGAGCTCCAACTATTGATGACCGGTGCTCTTCCTCCAAGTGCTTCTGCTGTCCAGAAACTATGTCAGCATGGTGAAAAATCCAATGTTCACGCAACGGCAACTCTCCGTGCTACACAGTTTAAGCGAATGATCGAGAATAAGACACAAATAAGATGCATGTGCAGCTGGAAAAAACCCACCCCGTAAAAGACCTACGTTGCAACTGAAACGCCAAGATGATTGAGTTCGATGTACAGCCCTAATTGGATATTTTTTGCTACGAAGAACCTGAAATACACAGGAACAGTACATGTGGTACAGAGTTGTGGTTTTATGTAAGTACAGTGATTTTGTAACATTCTAATGTTGTAACGTTGAAGAACATGGTATGTTGTTTAAATATTTGACTTATTTAGTGCGTTTCGTTATTTGCTCTCTAAAATATGGCGTAATTAATGACGAATTATGAAAGAATTCGATGCTCAGAACTCAGGAAATGGCATTTCCGGGGTTCAAATTTCAAAAATTTTCAGGGGGGGAATGCCCCCGGACCCCCCTAATCATTGACGGTTTTGGAGTGCGCCACGGTCAGGGTTTAGGCTAGATCCGCGCCTGGTAGTATATTTCATAATATAACAAACAATGTAAACTAGCCATACATTTTGCCGAACATAACTTCGGCCCCTTTGGACATATCTTTTTCGTAATAATATTATTGGAACCAGAATCGAAAACACTATTTATAGTGTTATTTCAAGCTTGTGCCTTGAGATTTTCATCTTTTATTTCGGTATTTACAGAATATTTATATTTTTAGCGCGGCCCATGGAACGCACATCAAAACAACGCGCTGTTTAGGAAAAACCAGAAATCGATTCTGTAGGTCGGCATGATTTGCACATGCATCGATCGAGCTAATAAACGTGCGTGCGAGTAAAAACCTGATATTTTGAAAAATTCAAAATAAAATATTCCTACTCTGTGCCGTACTCAAATGAAACTTTGTACATGAAAGCGCTTGAATACAAGATATATTTTACTCACATTGACTCTGAGCAAATTCTGAAGAGTTACTAAAGAATACTAGTTAAAGCAGGGTGCATTGCCTATTAATGGGTTAATAAGAGCATTGGCAGAAGTGTTTGTTAACCCATTTACTGACAGTACTCTGCCACTAACAAGTAAAATCGTCTGGCGTTACACAGTGTAAATTGGTCTGGCGTTAGCCAGACTTTAATACTAAAGTAGTGTGTATTGGCAGCTAATAGGTAACCTCTGTAATTATCTTTGTCTAATTTATTCTTCTTTTTCCCTTTAAATAGGGAATAGATAACACCAATTTCGACAGATTTAGGAATAGCTTCCAATGCTCTAATTGCATTGAAAACGTCAGTCAGGACAGCAAAGAACTGCTTCCCAGCATACTTGACGTGTTCGTATACAAGTTCATCCATTCCACCAACTTTGTTATTTGGCAACTTTAAACAAAGGTTGCTTACTTCCTCTGTAGTAAACGGTGTTTCTAATACGTCATTGGTAACATTAGCACTAAGATCCACATACTCTTTCAGCTGTTGTTCCACAAAAACTTTAAATTGTTCGTCATATACAGGGGACTCTTTAGGCGTATATAGTTGTTCATAATGAGCTTTCCACACGGATAGAAGTTCCTCTTTCTCAGTAATTAATCTGCCATCAATTTTTAATTCATTACATACCCCTGAAACTGATTTCTGTTTAGCTGAAATTTCTTTCTGGAAGCGTGAACGATCTTTATCATAAAATTCATCCATGTTGGAGAATTCATTTCTTTCGTGTTCAAAACATTTTCTACGGAAAAGTTTTCGAAATTCACATTTTGCTGCCTTATATTCTCGAAATGATGCGTTATCAGAATTTCTCGGTCGCCCTTCTGCTATCCATTTCCTTCGACATTCCCTTGACTTTGTACGCGCATTTTTGAGATCATTATTCCAATAAGGACGTAGAATGGGGCGATTTCTCTTGCAGGGCAGAATCTCTTTAGCAGAAGATGATAAGATCTGTGTAATTCCAGATAAAACGTATTCAATATCCTGTTCACCAGCCATCGTATAGGAGTTGAAACATGAAAGTTTTCTACTCACAAGTTTTTGATACATTTTCAAGACGAATGGATTCTGGATCTTTTTCCACGAGACACGACGTTTCGTATCATTGGGAAGAGGCTTTATCCATTTGACAGGAAATGTCAAGCAGCAACATATAGGAAGATGGAAGGATAAGTTATCACTGTGGTCTTCGTCCACATAGCAGTAACGGACATGATGCAATTCATCCACTTTCATAAATATATGGTCAGTTGTGCTTAACTGCTCACCTTGTTGAGCAAAATAGGTTTCCAGTGGTAAATGTTTGTGAGTTGACAGATCTCAAATTCCAAAATTTGAACTTATCGATAAGGGCTAGTCCTTGTTGATTTGTAGTATATATATAGATATATATATATAGATATATATAGATATATAGATATATATAGATATATATAGATATATATAGATATATATAGATATATAGATATATAGATATATAGATATATAGATATATAGATATATAGATAGAGATATAGATAGATAGATAGATATAGATATAGATATAGATAGATAGATAT